TATAATACATAAGGGGGGATATGATCTCCATGTATAATACATACAAGGGGGGGATATGATCTCCATGTATAATACATAAGGGGGATATGATCTCCATGTATAATACATAAGGGGGGGGGGATATGATCTCCATGTATAATACATATAAGGGGGGATATGATCTCCATGTATAATACATAAGGGGGGATATGATCTCCATGTATAATACATAAGGGGGGATATGATCTCCATGTATAATACATAAGGGGGGATATGATCTCCATGTATAATACATAAGGGGGGGATATGATCTCCATGTATAATACATAAGGGGGGATATGATCTCCATGTATAATACATAAGGGGGGATATGATCTCCATGTATAATACATAAGGGGGGATATGATCTCCATGTATAATACATAAGGGGGGATATGATCTCCATGTATAATACATAAGGGGGATATGATCTCCATGTATAATACATAAGGGGGGATATGATCTCCATGTATATAATACATAAGGGGGGATATGATCTCCATGTATAATACATAAGGGGGGGATATGATCTCCATGTATAATACATAAGGGGGGATATGATCTCCATGTATAATACATAAGGGGGGATATGATCTCCATGTATAATACATAAGGGGGGGATATGATCTCCATGTATAATACATAAGGGGGGGGATATGATCTCCATGTATAATACATAAGGGGGGATATGATCTCCATGTATAATACATAAGGGGGATATGATCTCCATGTATAATACATAAGGGGGGATATGATCTCCATGTATAATACATAAGGGGGGATATGATCTCCATGTATAATACATAAGGGGGGATATGATCTCCATGTATAATACATAAGGGGGGGGGATATGATCTCCATGTATAATACATAAGGGGGGATATGATCTCCATGTATAATACATAAGGGGGGATATGATCTCCATGTATAATACATAAGGGGGGATATGATCTCCATGTATAATACATAAGGGGGGATATGATCTCCATGTATAATACATAAGGGGGGATATGATCTCCATGTATAATACATAAGGGGGGATATGATCTCCATGTATAATACATAAGGGGGGATATGATCTCCATGTATAATACATAAGGGGGGGGGATATGATCTCCATGTATAATACATAAGGGGGGGATATGATCTCCATGTATAATACATAAGGGGGGATATGATCTCCATGTATAATACATAAGGGGGGATATGATCTCCATGTATAATACATAAGGGGGGGATATGATCTCCATGTATAATACATAAGGGGGGATATGATCTCCATGTATAATACATAAGGGGGGATATGATCTCCATGTATAATACATAAGGGGGGATATGATCTCCATGTATAATACATAAGGGGGGATATGATCTCCATGTATAATACATAAGGGGGGATATGATCTCCATGTATAATACATAAGGGGGATATGATCTCCATGTATAATACATAAGGGGGGATATGATCTCCATGTATAATACATAAGGGGGGATATGATCTCCATGTATAATACATAGGGGGGATATGATCTCCATGTATAATACATAAGGGGGGATATGATCTCCATGTATAATACATAAGGGGGGGGATATGATCTCCATGTATAATATACATAAGGGGGGATATGATCTCCATGTATAATACATAAGGGGGATATGATCTCCATGTATAATACATAAGGGGGGGATATGATCTCCATGTATAATACATAAGGGGGGATATGATCTCCATGTATAATACATAAGGGGGGATATGATCTCCATGTATAATACATAAGGGGGATATGATCTCCATGTATAATACATAAGGGGGGGATATGATCTCCATGTATAATACATAAGGGGGATATGATCTCCATGTATAATACATAAGGGGGGATATGATCTCCATGTATAATACATAAGGGGGGATATGATCTCCATGTATAATACATAAGGGGGGGATATGATCTCCATGTATAATACATAAGGGGGGATATGATCTCCATGTATAATACATAAGGGGGGATATGATCTCCATGTATAATACATAAGGGGGGATATGATCTCCATGTATAATACATAAGGGGGGATATGATCTCCATGTATAATACATAAGGGGGGGGGATATGATCTCCATGTATAATACATAAGGGGGGATATGATCTCCATGTATAATACATAAGGGGGGATATGATCTCCATGTATAATACATAAGGGGGGATATGATCTCCATGTATAATACATAAGGGGGGGATATGATCTCCATGTATAATACATAAGGGGGGGGATATGATCTCCATGTATAATACATGAGGGGGGATATGATCTCCATGTATAATACATAAAGGGGGATATGATCTCCATGTATAATACATAAGGGGGATATGATCTCCATGTATAATACATAAGGGGGGATATGATCTCCATGTATAATACATAAGGGGGGGGATATGATCTCCATGTATAATACATAAGGGGGGATATGATCTCCATGTATAATACATAATGGGGGGATATGATCTCCATGTATAATACATGAGGGGGGATATGATCTCCCTGAGGTCATCACAGAGGACAAGGGGGCATTGTTTACGTCTGGAGAAAAATAAATTTAACCACTTCCCGCCCGGCCTATATTAAAATGACAGCCGGGCTAGCCTCTCTTTAATCCGAGAGGGCATGTCAGGGATGCGGGTATGACCAGAGGTATGTGGACTGACACAGGGAAACGCAGGCTTCAGATATGTTATAAACAATATGATTTATTAAGTCTAACAATACAAAACGCAGTGCAAAACTAAATATAAACACAGTGCAAACAAACCAAACCACCTACAGATAACAATATATACAATGCAAGAGTAGTCAGGCAGGCCGGGTCAGTAGCAAACGGGCAAACGGAGTACCCAACAGCGGGAGAGTGGTCGGGGTCACAAGCTGGGTTCAGTAACTCACGGGCAGCGCGGTGCAGAGGGTCAGGCAGAGAATGGTCAGGGTCACAAGCCAGGGATCAAACAGGAGAAGTCAGCAGAGGTCAGGATCAGGCAGGGTCGGCAACAAGTCAGGCAGGAATAGGAACACAGGATACAAGATACAGGGGCCCATGGAAAAACACACACCAAGGCCCTGACTGTGAGTCTGGCCATTCCTTAAATACAACCCCTGCAATCAGCTTCAGGTGTTTGGCTGACTGCAGGGGGTGAATCTCTAATTGCTGAGAGCACCCACTGGCCAGCCCTGGTACTGCAGCCCACAAGGCAGGTGAGTCCCACCATTATTGGCAAGTCCATTCCTGACAGGGCATCATATGACTCCTTCCCGGATCGTGCCTTGTGCGTGCTCGCAGGGACGCGCTGTGGTGAGATCTGTCGCCGGCTGTGTACCTCGGACACAGCCGATGACAGATCTGTGTACCAGCCCCATTGCCAGTACTATGTGATCTGCTGTGACCAATCACAGCAGGTCACATAACAGTTGTAAACAATAGATGGCTTCCTTTGATGCCATCCATTGTATACAAGTGGGTCTAGCTGTGAATGGTCACAGTGATCACATGCACAGGCTGGGCCAATCACAGCCCATCTATGCCATGTGATTAGCCGTGGCCAATCACAGCTAATCACAATAAAAAAAACCTGAATGAATCGATTTCATTCAGTTAAATGCTTGCTTACAGCAAAGACATTCTTTGCTATAAGCAATCAAATTGTGTAAAAAAAAAAAAAATGACTGATCACTTCCCCAAAGTAGTACAATGTTATCATGGTAACATTATATTAAATTGGTCATAGTGTAATATGGAAAAAAAATCTTAAAAAAAGAAAAAAAAGGAATTAAAAAAAAAAAAAAATTGAAAAAAAAAGATCTAATGTTTTTTTCGTACTGTCACCAGTCAGTGTCCCTGATCACCGCCATGCCAGTTATATGCTGATGCTGGACTGCACTGGTGACAGCATGTAAAAACAAAATTGTGAAAATAATTTTTTTAATTTCTTCATTTTCAAAATTATTGACAAAAAAATTACAACTTCAAAAAAACTCGCTATGCCTCTTTTGAAATACATTGGACTGTCTACTTTGCAAAAAGTGGTCATTTGGGGGATATCTGTACCGTTCTGACAATTGGGGGATATCTGTACCGTCCTGACATTTGGGGGATATCTGTACTGTACTGACATTTGGTGGATATTTGCACCGTTCTGACAATTGGGGGATATCTGTACTGTCCTGACATTTGTGGGATATCTGTACCATCCTGACATTTTGGGGGATATCTGTACTGTTCTGACATTTGGGGATATCTGTACCGTCCTGACATTTGGGGGATATCTGTACCATCCTGACATTTGGGGGATATCTGTACTGTCCTGACATTTGGGGGATATCTGTACCGTCCTGACATTTGGGGGGGGATATCTGTACTGTACTGACATTTGGTGGATATCTGCACCGTGTCCTGACAATTTGGGGGATATCTGTACCGTCCTGACATTTGTGGGATATCTGTAGTGTCCTGACATTTGTGGGATATCTGTACCGTCCTGACATTTGGGGGATATCTGTACTGTTCTGACATTTGGGGGATATCTGTACTGTCCTGAACATTTGGGAGATATCTGTACTGGCCTGACATTTGGGGGATACCTGACTGTTCTTACATTTGGGGGATATCTGTACTGTTCTTACATTTGGGGGATATCTGTACTGTTCTGACATTTGGGGGATATCTGTACTGTCTTGTCATTTGGGGGATATCTGTACTGTTCTGACATTTGGGGGATACCTGTACTGTTCTGACATTTGGGGGATTATCTGTCCTGTTCTGACATTTGGGGATATCTGTACTGTTCTGACATTTGGGGATATCTGTACTGTCTTGTCATTTGGGGGATATCTGTAGTGTCCTGACATTTGGGGGATATCTGTACCATCCTGACATTTGGGGGGGGGGGGTATATCTATATCGTCCTGATATTTGGGGGATATCTGTACTGTTCTGACATTTGGGGGGATATCTGTACTGTCCTGACATTTGGGGGGGGGGGGGGTATCTATACCGTCCTGATATTTGGGGGATATCTGTACTGTTCTGACATTTCGGGGGATATCTGTACTGTCCTGACATTTGGGGGATATCTGTACTGTCCTGACATTTGGGGGATATCTGTACTGTTCTGACATTTGGGCGATAACTGTACTGTTCTGACATTTCGGGGGATATCTGTACTGTCCTGACATTTGTGAGATATCTGTACTGTTCTGACATTTGGGGCGATATCTGTACTGTTCTGACATTTCGGGGGATATCTCTCCTGTCCTGACATTTGGGGGGATATCTGTACCGTCCTGACATTTGGGGGATATCTGTACCATCCTGACATTTGGAGGATATCTGTACTGTCCTGACATTTGGGGGGGATATCTGTAGTGTCCTGACATTTGGGGGATATCTGTACCGTCCTGACATTTGGGGGATATCTGTAGTGTCCTGACATTTGGGGGATATCTGTACCTGTCCTGACATTTGGGGGATATCTGTACATTTGGGGGATATCTGTCCTGTCCCTGACATTTGGGGGATATCTGTACCGTCCTGACATTTGGTGGATATCTGTACTGTCCTGACATTTGGGGGATATCTGTACTGTCCTGACATTTGGAGGATATCTGTACTATCCTGACATTTGGGGGATATCTGTACTATCCTGACATTTTTGGAGGATATCTGTACTGTCCTGACATTTGGGGGATATCTGTACTGTCCTGACATTTGGGGGTTTTCTGTACTGTTTTGACATTTTTGGGCCTCAAGAAATTAGATTGGTCGTCAGTACTTCAGAATTTATCAATTTTTAGATATATCCCATAGTTTGTGAATTCTATAACTTTCCTGCAGACCGAATAATAAATACTGATTTGCTTTATTTTCACCAAAGAAATGGAGCAGAATACATCTTGGCCTATATATATGAAGAACAATTATTTATTTGCAAACCTTTTTTAACAGAAACAAAGAAAACATGTTTTTTTTTTTCAAAGTTCTTGGTCTTTTTTTGTTAATTTAGCAAAAAATAAATCCCCCAGCTGTACGGTGATTAAATACCAGCAAAAGAAAGCTCTAGTTTGTGTGAACAAAATGATAAAAATTTAGTTTGGGTACAATGTTGCATGACCGCGCAATTGTCATTCAAAGTGTGAGAGGGCTGAAACCTGAAAATTGGCTTGGGCAGGAAGGGGGTGACAGTGCCCGTTATTGAAGTGGTTAATCTCCAATCACAGAAAGGTTTCTTCACAGTAAGAGCTGTAAGAATGTAGAATAGACTCCCTCAAGATTTGGTTGTGTCCAGCTCAGTGGAAAGTCCTGGATTCTTTCTTGGATACACAGAATATAACTGGATATAACATTTATAGAGAAAGTGGATCCAGGGAGTGATTATTGATCCAGGGAATATCCGATTGCCTCTCGGGGGATCAGGAAGAAATTTTTTTTCCCCAGCAGGAGCAGTTTGGATCGTCCTTTGCTGGATTTTTTTTTTTTGCCTTCCTCTGGATCCACTGTGGGTGTAGGATTATAACTTTTTTTTTAAATTTTTTATGTTGAACTGGATGGACTTTTGTCTTTTTTCAGCGGGACTATCTATGTAATCTGTGTTGGGAAGAAGTTTAAGATCCAGAATAAATCTACTAAGAACCATCAAGAGGACTGCCCAGAACTGAGTGTAGGACCAGACCCATTATCACAGCCTCTTCTCTATGGATGGCTTTGCATGTACGTAGATGGAGGAGATCTCTGTATGTAGATGGAGGAGATCTCTACATGTATATGGTGGAGTTTTCTACATGTAGATGGAGATCTCTATATTTAGTTGGTGGAGATTTCTATATGTATATGGAGGAGATTTCTACATGTAGATGGAGGAGATTTCTATATGTAGATGGTGGAGATTTTTACATGTAGATGGAGGAGAATTCTATATGTAGATGGAGGAGATTTCTACATGTAGATGGACTAGATCTCTATGTGTAGATGGTGGAGATTCTATACTGTATGTATATGGAGGAGATTTCTACATGTAGATGGTGTGGTTACTACTCATTACCGCTCTCCCTCCTATATATATAATACAGTTGTGGCCAAAATTATTCAACCCCCACTGAAATTGAGTGTTTTGGCCAGTTTGACATTGCTTTTGATCATTCAGTCATCTTGCTTACATTTACATTAAAGAGGCACTTGTAGGTCAGACAACAAATATAACATAACAGTTTATAATGAAATAACCACAAATGTCTTTTCTGTGCTCACAGCATTATCAGTTTTATTCAACCCCCAAGTGACATTCAATCTTAGTACTTAGTACAGCATCCTTTTACAGTTATAACAGCTTTTAAACGTGAAGCATAGCTTGACACAAGTGTCTTGCAGCGATCTACGGGTATCTTCGCCCATTCTTCATGGGCAAAGGCCTCCAGTTCAGTCACATTCTTAGGCTTGCGCACTGCAACTGCTTTCTTTAAGTCCCACCAGAGGTTCTCAATCGGATTTAAGTCTGGTGACTGCGATGGCCACTCCAAAATGTTCCAGCCTTTCCTCTGCAACCATGCTCTAGTGGACTTGGAGGTATGCTTGGGATCATTGTCCTGTTGAAAGGTCCAACGTCTCCCAAGCCTCAGTGTGTGACGGACTGACTGCATCACGTTTCCATCCAATATCTCCTGGTACTGAAGAGAATTCATGGTACCTTGCACACGCTGAAGCTCCCTGTACCTGCAGAAGCAAAACAGCCCCAAAGCATGATTGACCCTCCACCATGCTTCACAGTAGGCAAGGTGTTCTTTTCATCATAGGCCTTGTTCTTCCTCCTCCAAACATAGCGTTGATCCATGGGCCCAAACAGTTCTAAATTTTGTTTCATCAGTCCACAGAACACTATCCCACAACTTTTGTGGTTTGTCCACATGGCTTTTGGCATACTGCAGTCGACTCTTCTTATTCTTTGGAGACAGCAAGGGGGTACGCCTGGGAGTTCTGGCACGGAGGCCTTCATTACGCAGTGTGCGTCTTATTGTCTGGGCTGAAACTTCTGTACCCACATCTGACAAATCTTTTCTCAGTTTCCTCAGCAGTCACACGGGGACTTCTCTCCACTCTACGCTTCAGGTAGCGCACAGCAGTCGAAGTCAGCATCTTCTTTCTGCCACGACCAGGTAGCGTTTCAACAGTGCCCTTTGCCTTGAATTTGCGAATGATGCTTCCTAAGGTGTCTCTGGTATGTTTAACATCTTTGCAATCTTCTTATAGCCATTGCCCTTCCTGTGAAGAGAAATCACCTCTTCTCTTGTCTTCCTGGACCATTCTCTTGCCTTCACCATGTTTGTAACCACACCAGTAAATGTCTAGAAGGAGCTGAGTATCACAGTCATTTTAAAGCTGCCTAATTGGTGCTTATTATGCTTGATTGCTGCTCGGTGACATCCACAGGTGTTTTCAATACCTGATGGAAAGCACCTGTATGAACCTCTGTTCTTCAGAGTGGTAGTCTTTAAGGGGTTGAATAATTGTGGCAATGAAGAAACCACATAAGAACCATTTACTACTGTATTACATAAACAATTGATGTCATTTTAGTTGCATTTGGGTAGTTACAACGTCCTTGTAGGATTTGATTCTGAATACAATTCCAAATGTACACTATAGTCCCTAAACCCCTTTACAGCATTGGGGGTTGAATAATTTTGGCCACAACCTGTACATACAGTAGCTCCAGAAGTGAGTCCACCCCTAAGTGACAAGGTCCACATTGGGCCCAAAGTCTGTCAATATTTTGTGTGGCCAACATTATTTTCCAGCACTATGCCTTAACCCTCTTGGGCACATGGAGGTCACCAGAGCTTCACAGTTGCCACTGGAGAGTCCTCTTCCACTCCTCCATGATGTCATCACGGAGCTGGTGGATTTAGAGACCTTGTGCTCCTCCACCTTCCATTTGACGAGGCCCCACAGATGCTCAAATAGGGTTCAGGTCTGGAGACATGCTTGGCCAGTCCAATTACCTTTAACCTCAGCTTAATATTTAGCAAGGCAGTGGTGGTCTTGGAGGTGTGTTTGGGGTCGTTATGTTGGAATACTGCCCTGCGACCCAGTCCCTGAAGGGAGGGGATCATGCTCTGCTTCAGTATGTCACAGTACATGTTGGCATTCATGGTTCCCTCAATGAACTGTAGCCCCCCAGTGCCGGCAGCACTCATGCAGCCCCAGACCATGACACCCCCACCACGCTTGACTGTAGGCAAGACACACTTTGTAACTCCTCACCTGCTTGCCACCACACATGCCTGACACCATCTGAACCCAATCAGTTGATGTTGGTGTCATCAGACCACAGGAGACGGTTCCTGTAATCCATGTCCTTAGTCTGCTTGTCTTCAGCAAACTGGATGCAGCTTTCTTGTGCATCATCTTTAGAAGAGGCTTCCTTCTGGGATGACAGCCATGCAAACCAATGTGATGCAGTGTGCGGCGTATGGTCTAGGCACTGACACTGACAGACTGACCCCCACCCCTACAACCTCTGCAGCAATGCGGGCAGCATTCATACTTCTATTTCCGAAAGACAACCTCTATATATGACGCGCTGAGCACATGCACTCAACTTCATTGGTGGACCATGGCGAGGCCTGTTTCTGAGTGGAACCTGTCCTGTTAAATCCACTATATGGTCTTGGCCACCGTGCTGCAGCTCAGTTTCAGGGTCTTGGCAATCTTCTTTAATAGCCTAGGCCATCTTTATGCTTTATGTAAAGCACAACTTCTTTTTTTCAGAGAGTTCTTTGCCATGAGGTTCCATGTTGAACTTCCAGTGACCAGTATGAGAGAGTGAGAGCGATAACACCAAATTTAACACACCTGCTCGCCATTCACACATTCCTGAGACCTTGTAACACGAACAAGTCACATGACCTCAGGCAGGGAAAATGGCAAATTGCGCCAAAATTTGGACCTTGTTCACTTAGGGGTGGACTCACTTCTGTTGCCAGCAGTCCAGACAATACTGGAGGTGTTGAGTTATTTTGAGGTTGACAGCAAATTTCAGTCAAATGGGGAGGGGGATCTAGTGTGTTTGCATCTCTTTGTGTGTATAATATTTTATACAGGAGCTGTACACTGATCCTACGTCACATTGTAGCAAAGTGTATCATTTCTTCAGTGGGGTTGTCACATGGAAATATACAATCAAATGGATTGACACAAATGTGTGTGGGGGGGACTCACTTCTGGGTCCGGGGATACTATATATATATACATTGTATACAGGAGTTCAGTCTGCGGGGGAGGAGGGACTCACTTCTGTGTGGGTATTCTGTAGATAGATATAAACAGTATATATGGAGGAGATCAGTCTGCGCAGATCTGTGTGGTTGTTCCTATACAGTATATATGGAGGAGATCCTGTGTCCGGGTATATATATATATATACAAGATATATATGGAGGAGATCAGCTGCGCAGATCTGTGTGGTTGTTCCTCCCCCCTCCTGTGTCCGGGTATATATATATATATATACAGTATATATGGGAGATCAGTCTGCGCAGATCTGTGTGGTTGTTCCTCCCCCCTCCTGTGTCCGGGTATATATATATATATATACAGTATATATGGAGGATCATCTGCGCAGATCTGTGTGGTTGTTCCTCTCCTGTGTCCGCAGATCATCTGCGTGTGGTTGTTCCTCCCCCCTCCTGTGTCCGG